AGAGTTGCAATTTCAAATATTTCACCTAATGTTGAAAAGAAACAAGGCTAAACATGTCAATTAATTTAATTTCAGTAACTATTCGATAGCAATAAATTTCATCCTTCTTCCTTTCTTGTCCCAAAAATCCATTTATTAATAAGTGAATATTAATAAATGAACATTCTGATCCTAGTAAAGAAATTCAGAGTCATCAAGTTCGTAATTTATATTATAATGTAATAAAAGTAAAATTGATTTTCCAAAAAGGGATTAGGCGTTTGTCGTGATATTCATGATGATACAAAAATTGTGCATGTTATAATAGGAAACGAAAGTTGAATTAATTTATGTTTGTGTACTCCACTTCTTTTTGTTCAATTGACTCATCAACTTTTCTTGTGCCTATATTTCTTTATGTGTTTCGACATTTTTTAAATGAAAATTTACAGTTATATTCAGAATTTCATGAAATATAAGCAATATTGCTTTCTTTTCTCCTTGTTGAAGAAAATAAATAAGTACCAAAAATATTATTCTGTTCATTTACTGGGGTACCTCATTTATTAGAAATTTATATTTATTTATTTGACCCATTTTTTTCTTGATCTTGTGTCAGATTTTTAATGAAGACTATAACTATCAAACATTGCTGGAATTGTGTTTCAAGACGTATGACAATAATAAAACAGTTTTTTCAAAATAATAACATTCAGAGTGTTAAATAAGATTTTTTAATACTAATTTTAATATTATTTTTAATACTAATTTTAAGACATTTAACATAACACATTTGGTTCTTAATTTTGAGAGAAAGCTGCAGACAAGATTGAACAAAGATTGTTCACCTGCTAATATAATAATTACAATATAATATTTTATTAAATTAGATTTAAAATATTAATCTCTACATAACATAAAGTAAAATTTAAGGAAGCCAAGCAGTCGAAGAAATTTAAAAAAAAAAAAAACTTACTCTTGGTTCATGAACCAGTTGTTTAAAAATTGTTAAAAATATATCAAAACGATATATGGAAAAATTGCCGAGTAAATCTTTAAAAGCTAGTCTGCTATAGGTGTTTTTGTATTATTGTTTGGAATAAAAAAATCAAGATTAAATTTCTTAATCTTTATCAAAATAAATTGTTTCACTTTAAGTATTTAACGTAACTGTTTCACTTCAAGTATCTAAAGTAGATAAAAAACGTCTCTAATGTATATAGTAATGAGCAACAATACAAACATTGTAAACTATTTCATCGTTCTGCTATCGTTACGAAAAATTCGGAATGTTTCACTATCCTTTCCGTGAACTATAAAATAAAAAATAAAAAAATAAAACGGTTCAGATCATATGATTGAGTGACATACAGATTCACGTGCACAATACAATCTAGAAGATATTTTTTATTGTAGCTCTTAGCCCAATGAATTCTTTCGGCCATTCTATCCTTTTTTCTCAGTATCTCTCAAATGCATTGGAAGATACTATAGTACATACGTACATACAATTGGTCGGCTTAAAAAATGATTTATTAAACAAGCTTATTCGCTCAAAATTCAAAATTATTTTCACGCGAATCCAAAATGCTAGCTGGTTATATAAAATAAAAATATGAATGTAGACAATTTCGAAAATGGAAAATATTTGGGAAATGGAGGTAGAGAGAATTTTTTAATTTTAAGGTTTTTTTTTTTTAAAGATAATTAGTTTACCTTTTGAAACGCACGTTACTCGAAGAAGATCTCTCGCAGAAGGTGGATATCCAATTTGTCGATACAATTCAAAGACACAGTACATAGGCAGTAAATCCTGATTCTCGTGGCATAAATTACCTGGAAAATATTATTTATTATTATTTTTTATTATTATATTATTGGTAAGGTCAATCACGACTGTTGTCGTTCTTGCACTTTTGCGTATAATTGCCCACTGATGTGGAAATGAAAATGAAACTAATTTCTTGACTTGAATTTATTGAATATTGAACCTGATGACTCCTATGCAATTCTTGCTTGTTGAACAGTGAGATTAAATATTGGCTACTTGAATAATCTTTCACGACTAACTATACTCACGAATAACTATTTCTGACTAACTGTAATGAATAACTATTTATGACTTCTGTTTTGAATAACTTTTTGTAATTAATTCTATTGACTCACTTTTTTTGATTGATTTTACTGAACTCTAAATTTTGACCTTTTGTAACTCTCTGGCCAAAGACTTGATTTGCCCCGCTATGTTAGGGAACATCCATGCCATAAGTGTTGCGTACTCTTGGCCTTAACAATTATTATTATTTTATTTGAAAGATATCAGTTTAAAAGCTATATTTTTTTTCTCTTCCTTTCTTTCTAAAAAATTGGTAGCATAAAAGACTTCTTCCACAGAATCATAAATATTTGTTTTATTCACTTGATCATTTTATTCTTAAGAAGTAATAAAAATCATTAAAATATTATATAAATGCAAATTATTCTTTCTTTCGTATGCCACAAATTGCTTCTCCTTACTTTGCAAAAGAATTATTTTTTGTAATAACATTTCATTTATAATTACATTATTATTTTAATTATATTGTACTATTTATAATTATGTTATTATGTTACTCACATACCAATATGATTGCCAGCATGAGGGTATACATCATTTTTTAAAAATCTGTGCAAACTTCCGGCGAGTTTTCCATTCATTTCTTCAATTTCTATGTCGTTCTGTTTAGTATACAAATGCCATGAAGCTTCTAACAACGCATGTAAAAATTGCCAGATTTCAATCTTTTCGAATGGATAATGAGGATCTTTTATCCCAGTAGTTTCATTTTTTGCTATTTCAGTAACATATTGTATATTAGTGATAGAAAATTTGTAACTTTTTTTCTTTATAACTTTTTAATGAATTATTTATAAACTTTCTGCTACATAATATTTTAATTCTATTTTTAATCCTATTTTAGGCATAGAATATAATAGCAAGATTTTAACATTAAAATTCGAGACTAAAATATTAAAATATTAAATATTTGAAATATCTTAAATTTAAAATATTAAAATATTTGTATATTGTTTAAAGATATAATTATTACCATTATGAGATCACTACCATGCATAACTCAAGGTTTTTGCACAGTACTGTATATTGTGAATGATATTAACAACAGTATAATTAATATGAATGGATGTTTACCAATATAATTATCAATTTCAACGAGGCTAAATCCTTTTTCATGAATGCCACAATCCCTCCATAACTGCCATAAACACAATCTACTCATTGCAAGATTGCATTTTGGCGCTGACTTGGCAAATAATTTCGCATAATCATTGTAAATTTGACGTAAACGAAACATATGAAACATTAAACAATTGTATGTCCAGCGTTCTTCATATTTCCAATTAGAGTCTATCATCTCTTTAGATACATTTGTTTGCGAAACATCATTCTGTTCACTTGTAATTGTATCTGCATTAAAATTTCGTTTGCATTAGTCGCTATCCTATTTCATAAATATGAATATGCACGAATGAGAATGCTTTTTTGTTTATTTACGGGAATTGAAAAGTATCGCAATTATTATTTTACAATGAAAAAGCAATATCGCTTTATTGAATTGATTAATTCATCAAGAATTGATTATTTGAACATTCAAAATATATTTAAATATTTAGCATAAATATATCAAAGAGATACAATTATTTTCGAAATATATAAATATATACAGAAGTTTTTTATATAAGAAATATCGAAAACAGAAATTTAGTTTAAAAAAAATAACATTAATGGTGACTATATATTTTCAATATAAAAATAAAAAAAATAATAATTTTAAGGAAACATTGAATTAAACCTTTATTTTTATTTCCCATGTATTAATCTTCTGCATTTTTGATATTAAAAATAAATGCATTCAACTAATTAAGTTTTTAAAAAAAAATGAAATTAATAATAAAAGAATGAAATTTTAATATTCTTAAGAATTGACACGATAAAAACAAATAAAAAAATATTTTTGATAAAATATGAAAAAGAAGTCGAACTGTATTTGAGAAATAATTTTATGGTTGGAAATACACTTGTCCCTTGATTTATGCAAGTTTCTTTTTAATAATATAATAATCTCTAATCTCTGTTTACGTGGACTTTTTGTACGAACTTTTATCCTACTTGACTTCATTGAGTTAGGCTATTCTTATTCTAATAATTACCAATGGAATGTGAAATAAATCTTATTATAACTTATATTTTTCTTTGGTATTTTCTCGTCTAAGAAAGACCGCGTAAAATTTGCATTTATTGTATATTATTTATTAATAAAAATAGGAATAACCGATTGAAACTGAATGTGTCAAACAAGAACAGGATTCGTTTTCACAACTGTAACATTTTCCAGATGAAGTCGAAAGTACAGGAGATAGTTCCAAACTCTTTGGATCTAGTAGACGAGCTATATAATAAAATAAATGTAGAAACTGTTCTGGTTTCAGAATAGGAGTTGCCAAGGTTTCTGTTAATTGGTCAGGTTTCTCAATAAATCTATAAACAATTAAATAGAAATTAATTGTATTTAATTTATTTTTAAATGCATTT